AAATTTTCTCACCCAAATTTTTATTGTTTAATAAAAATAATAATAAAGATCCATGGACCGACTTATCTCCGGCCCATCTTCCCACGTAAAGGTTATAGAGCAATTTAATTTGACATGTCAGCGATCTCGACCGCAGTGTCTCTACGGCTACTTTGGACTTACTTTACCTTCGTTTTCTCTTTTAAATTTTTTATTAAAATATTGATCTTTAAAATTAGTGCAAAGTCTACAATATGTATTCCTATACAGTAAATTTGTTAAATTGTTTTAGAAATTTATGGAACTAATTAATAAAGAGTGTAGAGAAATGAATGGCCCGCAGAATTATATGTACCGGTATTTTTATTTATTTGTTAATTATTTTTTTTTAGGAAATTAGGGAATGAAAAGTGAAGAAAAATTAATAGCCTACGTAAAATGTTGTATTTCTATTTACCGGTATTTATTTATTTGTTAATTATTTTTAGAAATTTATGGAACTGAAAAAGTGAAGAGAAATTAATGGTCTGTAGAGAAATGATCGGAATAGTTTTAGAACAACAACAATAATAAAGGAAATATGTTAATGAAATGAAATGAGGTTTAATGCCCTACTGTTCTGCACCAACCGGGATAATGAAGATGGGCATACACCATAAAGTGTGCTATGAGAGAAATTTTACCCGAACAGCGGCGGTACGGCCTACTCTTTATATCGATTTCCACCTGTTAAAGGTTCTTTTACGTGCACGCCGCATTTTCATCACATCCGAACGACTAGACACTGTACCTTGACATACACTCCGTCTGCACCACTGACAAGGGGAAGCTCCGTTGGAAAATCCTGAGGTATACTTTCTCGCGATCGAACACCGGATCCCTTTATTCTGTCACTTAGAAACCGCGGTTCCCTAACTTACAAGTACATTGAAGACTGCCCGACCATAATATGAAAAAACAGCAATAAAATGAAAATTAAAAATATCATCAATTGTAATTTGTACCTAATAATCCTATCTGCTGTTACGAAATTGTCTCAGTTTAATGTTTAACAGCCATCTGTTCAGAAGGCTCAGGACTTGTTTTTTTAGTGGAAATCTGTAATTTAAGAAAATAATATTTTAAGCCCTGTTGTTGCATTGATATTTATTTACTGCAGAGGAGAGGTGGACGGACAGTGAATGGTGGACTGGAACTTCGATCCAGACTTTGAGAGACGGTCATAAAGTTTGCTTCACTTTTTGAGGCCTATGTCAGAGTATTAGAAAAAAAACCCACCTAGGTGAAAAAAACAGTACAACTCTTGCCGTAGGTTCATATTGAGAGAGAGAGAGAGAGAGAGAGAGAGATAGGGTTTAACGTCCACTCTACACAAACTAGGTCATTTCGGGACTAACATATGGTTTAATTTTTTTATTCAATAATTCGCTTGCGCGTAGCGGTCTTTAGCAGTGAAACCGGAGGACCTGGAGAAAACCCACGAGGTTGGACAGGCGACCCTACTCCTTGTCACGTACAACCGGGGAATCGAAACCCCGCCAGTTGACTCAATGACATATAAGAGTTAGAAGATATGGTGACTGTATAATTTAATAATATATATTTTTTTAAAAAGGTGTTAAATGTGTCAAATTGTGTGTGTGTTTTTTGTGTGTGTGGGTGTGGGGGTGTGTGTGTGTGTGTGTGGGTATGGGTGTGTTTGTTTTCGGGGAGCATTGCAGAGACAGCGTATCGTTCGGATGGGACGGAAACTGAGGTCCCGCGTACACCTTGGCGTGCACGTAAAGAACCCTTGCCAGTTGGAATTCAATTTCCCTTATAGCACTGTATGACGTTAAACCCCATTTCATTCATTAATTTGTTTGTTTTCGCTTGTTCAACTGAACTTGTTTATGTTTTGAAAAATATTATGACATGAAAATTTATTATATATCTTAAGTTTCTTCTAAAGATTTAGTAGTAAAGGTTTTTTTTTATTTTAAAATGACTTTTAGATTAGGTCTTCACATCAAATTAATGACATTAATTCGATTGTTATTGACGTTTACATTGGCAACTAAGCTTGACCCTAACCCAGTGCTAGAAGAATGGACCGATTTTTGATAGGCACAGTTGATAAATAAATATAACCTATGAAACGCTATTCCACTACCCTTTTTTCGGGTGTTTGAGCAGCCAAAACAGCAGCAACTTTCTGGCATATTGATTATAATAATCTAATGGTCGTCAGCGTCAACTCCCCGGAACTAACATGGCGGACAAGGCCCCTTCTCGGCACGCTGTCACATGATCACTGCGGACTCTAGTTTCTATATATAGCTCTATGGTACTCACCTATAAATTGTTTGCCTCTTTGTATTGTGATTTAATCATTAATAACATATTGTCTGTATTATATTTTTAAAATGAATAAGTCAAGCCTTATAATGTAATTTAATTGGTCCTTGTTGTCCTTTGGGTTGGTCCGAATAGCAAAGATAAATATGGGTCCGATGTTATGCAATATCGATGCAGGGTTGTTTTTTTTTTTTTTCTCTTTTTTTTTCTAACAATATTTATTCAATATTTACATATTATAAAGATACAATATTCGATTATGGGATCTGAAAACAAGCCGTACAGATATATAAATGCATTGTTTATAATTATAATCACGATTTACATACAATTATAATTACAAAAGCAAATGCAGGTTCAATCAAGAAACTGCGTGTTCACAGTCTAGTATAACTTTCGAGCTTCTGATATCTAGATTTTAAAGCTTATAGATTGCAGTTACACAGGGTACATGCATATGCAGTAGGAAATCGGGAAGTTGGACGTACAAAAGAATGGAATCATTCAGAAAGATTACTCAAAATAAGAAAATTATAACGGGGTGAAGGCGAGAATTACATGTAACACACTCGTGGACATTGTATAAATATATGACATGCGCATGTAATGTAAACGTATGTGTGTGTGAAATGGCTTTATTCAATATCCACTTCCACCGAAATGAATTGGGCGACATTTAAAGTAGATGTATATTGTGACAGCGGAGATTTGTCACCGAGTAACACAGAGTAAGAATATAGTTCCAATCTTTTGGCGCGTTTCTGATCACTTGACTTACCGTTAAGCGCCCCGTAGAGTGATTTACGGCACTGTGCTCTATGAATGATTGATTTAGATTAACTGAAGCTGCAAGTAATGTGTAAAAGCTCATCGTATGACGTATATAATTCAAAGTTTGGATTTTATAGCAGCCAATAATTGATGGATTACATCTAAGTTATAGACGAAGATGTAATGATACGTTTTAAAAAATTGTAAGTTGTTCATTGTAGCATACATTTTGGCCGACGTTATATGAATGTACAGTGCGCTAGAAAAAAATCCTAACCGATACAGAATGCCGGTAAATGTTTTCCCGAGATTACCTAACTCATTTTGTTGTTATTCAAACCGGCCCGTACATTATACATGTACACGTTTTCGCGGCAGCATTACTGTATTACAACTCCTTCAATTAATTATAGACAATATTATTTCGACCCTAGCTTCTCGCGAATTCCTTGCGGGAAGCATGGCAAAACACGATGTAACGTATCTCTTGAATTCAACGGCTCGTCTAATAAATGAACGCCCTAGATCATTGAACGGGAAGTCCATTTTTAAATGCATCTCGGGAAATTCAACGGCTCGTCCAATAAATGAACACCATAGATAAGTGCACGGGTAGTCCATTTTTAAACTCAACTCGGAGAAACTAAAGCTGTTGACATTAATCTAAACAATAGTACTAATTAAACCATTTTTGTTATTCTTCAACGATTTTTATCAATTATCGAACGGGGTTTTGAAAATAAACAGTATGAATAGTAACCAACACTAAAAAACCCATATTAAACGATACCATATTTGTAGTGATGGTCATCACCATATACAATTTAAAGTTTGAATTTGATAGCAGCCAATAATTGATGGATTACATCTAACTTATAGACAAAGATGTAATGATACGTTTAAAAAATTGTAAGTTGTTCATAGTTTGCATACATTTTGGCCCCATGTAATGCATGTACAGTGTGTTAGAAAAAAAAAATCCGACCCTAGCTTCCTCGCCAACATACCTTGTATTCAACTGAAATAAATTACTTTTTTTTCAACATGCTTAAATTGGGATAATATCGGCACTCAAGCGATTACCATGTTCCTCCGCGAAACACTGTAATACACCGCGAAACACCCTATTTTGCGGTGATTTTGCTAGCTGGCGTTTCGCTAGCGATTCTCCAAGATTCCGCCACGGAACAGGGAGTTTTTCCGCCATGTTGGGTGATTCTAGTCCCAAACTCCAGCAGCGTAGTGTACATGTTAAGTCACAAAACTTAATAAACAGAAACAGAGGCAAACTGGAGACCACCACAAAAATAAGCCATTAGAGAATACTAAGAAATTGGGGAACATGCTGCAGTAATCTAAATAGTTCCAAATATTTTTTTATACTTTTTTTTATCTCTGTTGAAATATATAAGCTTATAATTTAAAGCATGTTGGGAATATTTTAAGTGCTATATAGAACGCATTATCTTCAATGGCAATAAATTCATCAGATACATTAAATTGAAATAATATAATTTTCTTATGAATGTATTAAATTATTTTAGGTATTTTAATCCTCATTCTAACAAAGTTATAGTCAGTACACAATTCTATGGAATACAATTATTGTTTACGGAGCTACGATTTAACTACTGGTAGTTTTCTCTAATCTTTATTATGCATCAAGGATCCTGGTCAAAATGTGGCTAAGTAATAAAATTTAATTGTATTTTATAGAATTGTGTCCAGTGTCAGTGTACATGTAGTTCCAGTTAAATTAGTAAATAAAAGTTAGTTTGATATCCATGTTCTAGTTTGTTTTTTTTAAATTTTAGTTCCACTTCTAGAAACAGACACAATTACTGCCAAGCTGAGCATGTGCACTAATTTTTGTTATGTGTAAATATGCATAGAATATATTATTAAAAGGATATGAATCTCTCATTCTCTGCATTTCTTCTATAGCATTAGGAGCTGAAATATAAAGAAAATACAAGTTCAGATCCTATTTGTAACCTTATGTAGTGAAGTGGATCTCTGGATAGAGCGGATTACTGTGGTAGAGGGTTCACTACTGTAGAGGTGTGGGAGTAGCAGCTGGCTCAGAAAGACTAACACCAGATTAATCAGCAACTCTCTTTATTATACTCTGTCTCATGCTTGTCAGGCTCTCGAACCACGCTCCTAGCAACGGCTCTCAAAATGGCTCTCTCCTCAGAGCTCTAATCTAACGCTCCCACAAAAGGGCTCTCTGTAACGCTCCTTAACGGGCTCTCTATAACGCTCCTACAAGGGCTCTATGTATTGCTCCCTGTAAGTTGGGGTCAAACTCGTCAATGTAATCTACTGGAGAAATGGTCTCGGTCTTACCTCTGCTAACACGACTGAATTCCACTGCTACTGGGCAAGACAAGGTACTATATACCCAAGCAGAGGTCGCAGTGGATCAATTTCGAGTTGTGTAAAAATATGCAGACATTAAAATTTTTTGCGTTTTTGCTCTCTACATCTGCGTGATTTAAAGTCTCTCAAAATATGCAATAGAAGCAAGGAAAATCTTTACGTGAACAACCCTATTTTAAGTGTTTTTATTTCATCGATATTGTATTTAGTCTAATGACGACATAAGGTTGACAGCATATCTATGGTTGACGGCACAGTCATTTCAATCTTTCATTTCGACAGGAAGTAAAGAGCAAACTATCGCTATGAGAGAGAGAGAGAGAAAATGATACTGAAATTTCGGTGAAAATTTTGCCCAATCTCACTGAAATGACCAAATTTCACTGAAATCTCACCAAAATTTCACTGAAATAAAAATATATTTTGGTCTATTACTGAAATTTCACTGAAATAAACAAAAATTTTGGTCTACTGAAATTTCACTGAAATAAAATATATTTTGGTCTACTGGAATTTCACTGAAATATTTATATTGCAAATTTCATTGAAATTTCACTGAAATTAAAAAATATAAAAATGTCATTTTTTCATGGTAAATATTTTAATAACTGCATGTCGAAATGTTTTTAATTTCCATTAATTAATCACGTGATTTCGTGAAGTAAACAATTTCATTGACGTTTATTTTATTCGTCCATCACCGTGCGTAATCCACGAACACGTGCTACATGTAAGTAATATTAACTACATGTTTAAAATGATTTCTAAACTTATGAATGACTCAACATCAAAATTTGTTCCGATAATCATTGTATTATGATAGAATGGCTATTTTCTCAAATGTAACACCCATGTTTCAATACCCATATTTGGAAACGAGGTCATCGATTACGGCACCCGTAAATTTCATTTACAGTAAATATTTAACGATCAATTAATGCAACCATGTTTTGAAATCAACCTCTTTTATTGTGAAAAGATAAAATAAATCTAAACCTTCTTAAATTCAAATTTTGAGGTCATTGCCGGTTAGCGTAAACAATGTCAATGACAGAGATTCCAAGAGTGTCGGGTTACAGGCGAGCGGCAATGTTTTTAAAAATTTTGGAATGGAAAACGAACGAAGAAATTTTTAATTCTATAATGGTTGTAAATTATATGAAACTCTCATGCAAACAAAAGCTAGGACCTCGCGTGCATATTTCATTACTAAATTGATAAACTGGTGCTGCTATTTAAACAGATTAACGGGCTAATTAACCTAAGTTCTTTTCATCGTTTTGCGAAAGGCTTCGCATTTTTAATATGTGGAATAATAGAGTTGTGTTTGTGCTCGTTATTTTCTGGATTATATGACCCCCAAAACACCTATCACAGAATGGTTTGTTGGATAAATTTCGAAGTAATTAATTATAAAATGGATGTACTGATGATAAGGCGTAATTTCAAAAGCAGCCATGGTGAGTATAGTTGCTTAAATTCTAGTTGATCGGGCTATCGGCTATTGGTATATTTCGTCATGCAAATAATTATGTGACCTTGCTACATGTATGTTTAGTTTTTAAAAAATATGGTAAAACCGTTCTGTCTATATATATTACGGATCCACTAAAAATAAATAAAAAGATATAAATTATCAGTGTTAAAACCTTGTGTATTCAGAAGTAAATGCCTGCCTGCCACAAGTGACAGCCGATGCACATTTATCCCAAAATTTATTTTATATGCTTTGTTTTTGACAGGATAATTTTGAAACTGCTGAATGCTCTAACATCACACTGCATTGCACATGCCTATATTTATTTAATATTATTTTGATTGTGTCATTTCAGGCCATATTTTTATTATCATCGAAGAAAAGGACAACAGAAGAAAAAGAAAATACAGAAATTTGAGGGATAATTAATAATAGAATAATATTGTAATTGATTGGATTTTTTTTTCAGAATGCATGTTAATAAAGACTTTGAAATAGTAATGAGATTTCAGTAAAATTTCAGTGAGTTTTCAGTAAAATCTCAATGAAATTTCAGTGTGAAAATACACACTGAAATTTCAGTGAAATCTCACTGAAATTTCAGTGAGAGATTTGGTCAAAATATTATTGAAATTTCAGTGAGATTTCAGTGAAATTTCAGTGAGAAATTTGGTCAAAATTTTATTGAAATTCGCAAATAAAGTTTATGTATAATTACTATAGTTTACAGGACAATTTGGTCAAAATTTTATTGAAATTTCACTGAGATCTCACTGAAATCTCATTGAAATTTCAGTGAAATCTCACTAAAATTTCAGTAAAATCTCACTGAAATTTCAACAATACTTTGACCAAACCTTCACTGAAATTTCAGTGTGTATTTTCACAGGGGAAATTGTTTAATTTTCTCAAATTGTCCTGTAAACTATAGTAATTATACATAAACTTTATTTGCGAATATTGTTCTGAATTTTTTCAATGTTTATATTTTCATTGGAAACAAAACGAGAAACATTGAATTGTTACGGTGCAGACTTTGTGCCAAAATTATCAGGGCGTCAAAGTAAAACTTAAGATTTTTTCTGTGACTTTTCTTTATGGTTTTCATCAAGTCAGTATAGGAGTGAAAGATTGATACTGAAATTTCATTTTTCTTTTTATTTATTCTAATAGATATCGAAACATTTTCTAAATATTAATGGTCAATAAATGGCTTCATCTATGGTCAAAGTATAGTATGAAATACATGAATGGTCCTTCTAAATAATGGATTAGAGTTGAGAAGTGCTATTTTTGCTGGAGCGATTTTCAGCTGTTGTAATTTTAGAAGAGCTTTTTATGGTTCCTCTTTTTTTTTTAAACGTGAAGCACTGTCATTCCGACGTCGGGGAAATTTTCTGCGTCTAAATTACACAGCGTCCGTCATTATATGTGCGTTAATTTTGAAAAAAAATGTGTGAAAAACGCAGATTTTTGCGTGACTGCGACCTCTGTACCCAAGATTATGTGACGTAACCATGTGGTATAAGAAACAAGGAAATTGATGACGTAGTGTACAAACTACGAAATAGAATAATCTAATTATTCTCACATCGGGGAAATTTTCTGCGTCTATATTACGCAGCGTCCGTCAATATTTGCGTTTATTTTGAAAAAGATGTGTGAAAAACGCAGATTTTTGCGTGACTGCGACCTCTGTACCCAAGATTATGTGACGTAACCACGTGGTATAAGACACACCTACTGTTCCTGCTAATCCTAAGCATGTGCCGCCAATAGACAACAAGCCAACGACAGCGCGTGTAGTGACGGATATAACTTTTCAGTATCTTTCAGAAATTTAAATATACCATAAAATTTTATTTTTTTATCTCTTCATTGCTATTAAACTGTCAATCATAAAACTGATTTGCCAGCAGTGGTTTGGAAAATCAATATCTAAGCTTACACTATAAGCTTATTTGATTTCAGAAATAAAATATAAAGAAGAAAACACAACAACTAGTATAATAACATTAAACATCTCATCAGGGTACTGTTACTATTGCCCATGTAAACATATAAAAAAAAAGAGGTACACTCATTTGTGACATCAAAACAGCAGCTGCCAGGCAGGATACGCCCACATTTTCGAGAGATGGATAGAGAACAAGCTAAAAAGAAAGTGATTTTTCCTACAATCAAAGGCCATAATTCAGGAAATTACAATTCGATATGCGCAAATATAGAATGGAACCGAGATCTTTGGGTTATAAACTTACATTTCAAGTTTCAACAAAATCGAATAAAAATTGTGACCTCTATAGGGTCCAAAACCTTGATATACCATATTTTTATGCTATTTGAGAACGAACAGCGGCCATTTTGTCTGTCAATTTTGGGCCGATTTTAACGAAATTCGAACTCAGCCATCCTTAGGGTGTAACAGTGATATAATTATATGTTTTTTTAAATCGGATAAAAATTATGACCTCTATAGGGTCCACAAGCTAAAAATGCGATTTTTTCGTACGATCAGGGACCATAATTCAGGAAGTTACAGTCTGATATGCGCGAATATCGAAAAGGAACCGAGATCTTTGGGTTATAAACTTACATTTCAAGTTTCAACAAAATCGGATAAAGATAGGTTGCCAGACAACGAAACATACGCCCACAGCAGCTATATAGTCCGGGCAGTCAACAAGAGTTATCGCATATTTTTACTTTTTTCGGTAAGGCTGACCTTAAAAATATCTTTGTTTCGCCTAACGCGACCGACTAACTAAAACCACCCCCGACTTAAATTATTTTATTGCACTTTTCCACGATCTTTTTATTTTATTTTGTGTGTCAACCTGAAATATATCACGAGAGTTATTTCCCTTTACTATGGCTATAGTTTGATTCATTATTGAAACTGGTTGATCAAGACGAAAGCGTCATAGGTGTCGCTTCTCAACAATATGGTTGCAGACGAATACACGTCCATTCCCACGAAATGATTCTGCTTCTATGTCTGTGGTGCGTAGTTTTAAACATGACGACGATATTTTCAATATCCGTTTTCGAGAAAAATGAAGGCACAACCCGCAGTATCGTTAAAAACGTGTTGAAGGAGTTTCACACTTCAAGTTCGTGGCAAATCGTTTGCGAGTCGGGCATCACGAAAAATTCCCGATGTCATTCACTCATTTATTTTTTTGCCAATTGAATAAAGAAGACGAATGTTTCCACCCGGAAAATTATTAAGCTGTCAAATTAGCTCTTAAGTTTAATAAAAAAACCTTTCAGTTCGTTACTTTTTACGTCAGACCCCAAATTCATTAAACAAAATTAATGAATCTGTAGTATACAGCTAATAAGTTTTCTGTATTGATTTCTCTAACTTTAAAAAAAAAATCTGAAAAAAAAAACCGACCTACCGACCCTTCTCCTCGATTGTGGGTCGGGTTTGGTGAAACAAAGATATTTTTAAGGTCAGCCTAATGAAACATTTGGGCCGATTTTAACGAAATTCGAACTCAGCCATCCTTAGGGTGTAACAGTGATATAATTATATGTTTTTTTAAATCGGATAAAAATTATGACCTCTATAGGGTCCACAAGCTAAAAATGCGATTTTTTGTACAATCAGGGGCCATAATTCAGGAAGTTACAGTCCGATATGAGCGAATATCAAAAGGAACCGAGATCTTTGGGTTATAAACTTACATTTCAAGTTTCAACAAAATCAGATAAAAATTGTGACCTCTATAGGGTCCACAACCTTGATATACCAGGTGACACAAAAAAAAACGTTCATCACCGAAACTTGAATAACGAAGAGGGGTTGTCAGGGACCTCCAGTGGTTCCAGCAGGATGGTGCCACCCCCCACACCTCAAACGAATCATTGGCATGGCTACAGCAGCGTTTCCCTGACCGACTGATCAGCCGCAGGTGTGACCTGGAGTGGTCGCCGCATTCACCGGACTTGAACGCCCCATATTTTCATCTGTGGGGATACCTTAAGGACAGGGTGTATGGCAACAACCCCCAGACTATCCCTAATCTGAAGGCAGCAATCACAGCAGCAATAAAAGCGATCCCAAGAACTTTGCCCGCCGGATCCAAATGTGCTTGCAGCACCGGGGAGCTCATTTAGAGCACATTTTTTGAGCGCCAGTTAAACAAAGAGTTTTTGTGGTACAGACTTGAAACTTTGGAGATGTCTGCTACATAGACTTAACCTAATGTAGCTGAATTTTTGTGTTAATCTAAATAAAATTTTGAAAGTTATTCGATTTTTATTGATGAATGTTTTTTTTGTGTCACCCTGTACCATATTTTTACGCTATTTGAGAACAAACGGCGGCCATTTTGTCTGTCAGTTTTGGATCGATTTTCACGAAATTCGAACTCAGCCGTCCTTAGGGTGTACATGTAACTGTGATATAATAATACGTTTTTTTTAAATCGGAATAAAATTATGACCTCTATAGGGTCCACAAGCTAAAAACGTGATTTTTCGTACAATCAGGAGCCATAATTCAGGAAGTTACAGTTCAATATGCGTGAATATCGAAAGGAACCGAGATCTTTGGGTTATAAACTTATATTTCAAGTTTAAACAAAATCGGATAAAAATTGTGACCTCAATAGGGTCCACAACCTTGATATACCATATTTTTACGCTATTTGAGAACAAACGGCGGCCATTTTCTCTGTCAATTTTGGGCTGAATTTCATGAAATTGGAACTCAGCCGTCCTTAGGGTGTAACGGTGATATAATTTACGTTTTTTTAAATCGGATAAAAATTATGACCTCTATAGGGTCGTACAATCAGGGGCCATAATTCAGAAAGTTACAGTACGATATGCGCGAATATCGAAAGGAACCAAGATCTTCGGGTTATAAACTTACATTTCAAGTTTCAACAAAATCAGATAAAAATTGTGACCTCTATAGGGTCCACAACCTTGATTTACCATATTTTTACGCTATTTGAGAACGAATGGCGGCCACTTTGTCTGTCAATTTTGGGCCGATTTTCACGAAATTCGAACTCAGCCATCCTTAGGGTGTAATGGTGATATAATTTACGTTTTTTTAAATCGGATAAAAATTATGACCTCTATAGGGTCCACAAGCTAAAAACGCGATTTTTCGTACAATCAGGGGCCATAATTCAGGAAGTTACAATACGATATACGTGAATATCGAAAGGAACCAAGATCTTTGGGTTATAAACTTACATTTCAAGTTTCAACAAAATCAGATAAAAATTGTGACCTCTATAGGGTCCACAACCTTGATTTACCATATTTTTACGCTATTTGAGAACGAATGGCGGCCACTTTGTCTGTCAATTTTGGGCCGATTTTCACGAAATTCGAACTCAGCCATCCTTAGGGTGTAATGGTGATAAAATAATACGTTTTTTTAAATCGGATAAAAATTATGACTTGTATAGGGTCCACAAGCTAAAAATGCGATTTTTCGTAAAATCAGGGGCCATAATTCAGGAAGTTACGGTCCGATATGTGCGAATATCGAAAGGAATCGAGATCTTTGTATTATCAACTAACATTTTAAGTTTCAACAAAATCGAATAAAATTGTGATCTCTATGGTGGCCACAAGCTAAACAAGAGCATCGCTAACGCAGCAATATACGTCCACATTCCTGTTTTGTTTGATATGGTCCAGTTTGCATTGAGGGTCTGTGAAATAAAACTGGGTTGTAGGACTGCTATCAGTTTAACACTTCGTTCACATTAACAGAACACAATTTTATTTTAAAACAATCGATGTCTTTATTCTAAAAGCATGGCGTTTCGAATAGGTATGCAAAGTTTCAAAAGGATCTGTTAAGAATTGCGGTCTGTAGGCAAAACACAAGACACACAAACATTAGGCGTGGCTCTGTCCCAAGGGGTCGAGCATGCACCAAAAATAATAATAGAGGTCGGCCTTAGGATTAAGGAATAAGTATAAATAGTAGCCTTAGGCTATAAGGAATAAGTATAAAAAAGTTTTCAAGATGATCGATTAAGAAATGCGGTCTGCAAGTGACACACAGACATAAAAAAAGAAAATGGGCGTAGCTCTGCCCCTGGGGGTTGGGTATTCACCACAAATAATAGGGATGTTCCTTAGGACAGAAGGAATATGTATGCTAGGTTTCAAGGTGATACGATAAAAAAATGCGATCTGTAGATGACAAACAAATAAATAAATATAATGGATGGGCGTGGCTATGCCCCTGGCGGTCGGGCATGCACCAAAAACAATAGGGATCATCGTTAGGGTATAAGCAATTCATATGAAATTTTTTCAAGACGATTAAGAATTGTGGCCTGTAGGTGACACACAGACAGAAAAAGAAAAGAAAATGGGCGTGGCTCTGCCCCTGGGGGTAAAAAAAACAATAGGGATCATCGTTAGGGTATAAGCAATTCATATGAAAAAATTTCAAGACGATTGATTAAGAATTGTGGCCTGTAGGCGACACACAGACATAAAAAAGAAAATAGCCGTGGCTTTGCCCCTGGGGGTTGGGCATGCACCCAAAACGATAGGGATGTTCCTTAGGGTACAAAGAATAAGTATGCAAAGTTTCAAGATGATACGTTAAGAAATGTGGCCTGTAGACGACAAACAAACAAATACAAAAAATGGGCGTGGCTCTGCCCCGGGGAGGCGAGCATGCACCAAAAACAATAGGGATCTTCCTTGGGGTATAAGGAATAAGTATACCAAGTTTGAAGAAAATCCAGTAAGAATTGCGCCCTGTAGGCGACACAAAGACACACGAAAAGAAAATGGGAAATGGGCGTGGCTCTGCCCCTGGGGGTTGGGCATGTACCCCAAACGATAGGGATGTTCCTTAGGGTACAAAGAATGTGTATGCAAGATTATAAGTTAAGAAATGTGGCCTGTAGACGACAAACAAACAAATACTAGAAATGGGCGTGGCTCTGCCCCTGGGGGTCGGGCATGCACCAAAAACAATAGGGATCTTCCTTGGGGTATAAGGAATAAGTATACCAAGTTTGAAGAAAATCCAGTAAGAATTGCGCCCTGTAGGCGACACAAAGACACACGAAAAGAAAATGGGCGTGGCTCTGCCCCTGGGGGTTGGGCATGCACCCCAAACGATAGGGATGTTCCTTAGGGTACAAAGAATGTGTATGCAAAGTTTCAAGATTATTAGTTAAGAAATGTGGCCTGTAGACGACAAACAAACAAATACTAGAAATGGGCGTGGCTCTGCCCCGGGGGGTCGGGCATGCACCAAAAACAATAGGGATCTTCCTTGGGGTATAAGGAATAAGTATACCAAGTTTGAAGAAAATCCATGAAGAATTGCGCCCTGTAGGCGAACCACAGACACACACACACACACACACACACACACACACATACATACATACACACACACACACACACAGACAGGGGCGACGGCATAATACGTTCACATTATGAATGTGGACGTATAAAAACGTGTTTTTTCGTACAAACAGGGGCCATAATCCATGAAGTTTCGATCCGATACATGCCAATATCGAAAGGAACCAAGATCTTTTGGAGATAAACCTATATTTCAAGTTTCGTCAAAATGGGATAAGAATTGTGACCTGTAGAGTGTCCACAAACAAATTGTGAACGGACGGACAGGGGCGACGACAATATACGTCCACATGAAAATGTGGGCGTATAAAAATGCAAAGCCCTTGAAAATATCTGTTTATGTTTTTATGTTTCAAAACAAACAACTTTGCTTTTTTGTTGAGAATTTGTTAAGCTGTACATTAAATTACGAAGCTGATTATCATGTATCTTCAAGTACAGCTTCAATTTTCTCTCAATAATATTCCATTAATGACAAATAATTTCCCAAGTATTTATTTCCATTAGGTAGTCAACCAGTTTGCCTAAATAAAATTTCAACAACCAATGAGACTACCAAAAATCCAGTAATGACACTTGTCTTGAGAAGGTGAATTAAAGAATATAAAAAGATTTCTTAAATAATTCTTCACTTACCAGTGCTAGACTTGGAATTGGCATTGATAAGACAAGTTAATCCAGTCACCCAAATATTGGCTTCATCAGCTGTGTTAGCTATCAAATCCATAGATTCAAACTCTTCACCAAAGATAATAGAAAAAGCACATTCATCTGGATAGATTCCTGCTATTTCCTTATTTCTTAAAGCATCAGTTGTTTTTCCTTGTCGAACTTCTTTTACTGATGCCACACCAACTAAAAATAGAAACATTACAATATAACACAACAATTACGGGTATAATTAAATTATTACTATGGTAAGTCAAATACCGGTAGCTAAAGCTTGATAACGGTGAGAGTAACCTCATTGAAACCTCGCAGTTACTAAACTTAACTGACACAGTTATATGGGACAACAATCACTGGTTTATTATACACAAGCACAACGTTTCAATAAGTATTCTCTTATCGTTATCAAGCACAATAAACCAGTGATTGTTGTCCCATATAACTGTGTCAGTTTTGTTATGTTTCCAACTGCTAAAATGCCACTAAAGCTAAAATGCCACTAAAGAGTTACTAAATTTAATGAATGTTATCCATAATGCTCTCTGTCATTAGCTACAGCTAACATTTACTTATACTGTTCATAAACCCCATTTATACTGGTTTTGAAGTACCTGGTAGTGAAACTCTACACTAGGTTTCATCACAAGTTTGCTTGTCTCAAAGCATCAACCAATGAAACTGGTTAGCTTGAACTCAGGCAAGACATTCACCTAATGAACATCTACACCAAGTTTAAACATTCTACTTCAAAAGCAGAGTTGTTATGTTCCAAAGTCCTGACCAATCAAATTGCTTATCAGAAAATCTCATCATCGAACTTAGTCAAGGTATTAATATAATGAATCTATTCTCTGATGAGTTTCATCACGCTCACCCAATTAGAGCCAAAGTTATTGTGTTCCAATGTCTCAACCAATCAAATTGTTTATCTCTGCTTAGTCTTAGTGGAAAATGTGCATGACTTTTTAGACATTTTTTTTAACAATTTTGGTTCCAGCACTCTATGTTATTGTTCTCTATGACGTCTTTTCTGTTTCCTTAGAGATTATTTTTAAAAGTTTCATTTATTACCTTGAAGAAGTCCTCTTCGAAACATTGGTTCAAGAAAATAAATTAAATGATACATGTAACTACCTTCTCTTCGGAGGAACTGATTGGACATCTCCAAGTTTACATGTATTTACTGATGAACAAGAAACAGTTTTCCTGTCAAATTCTTATTTTTTTTTTTTTTTTTAAACAAAGATTATGAAGAAAAAAAACTGCTGAAAATTGTATAATTCAACAGGTGGAAGGCCGAAAGATGTCTGTGGAAAGTCTGCTTTCTTGAGGATCTATAGATGCTGGGTGGATCATGAAAAACAGAACCAGCGGCTGCCAGGCAGGATACGCCCACATTTTTCCAGAGATGGATAGAGAACAAGCTAAAAACAAGCAGGATTTTTTGTACAATCAGGGGCAATAATCCAGAAAACTATGGTCTGAAATGAGCAAATATCAAAAGGGACTGAGATACGATTTAAGTTTCATCAGAATCAGACAAAAATTGTGACCTCTAGAGGGTCGACAACCTTCGTATTGCATACTTTTACACAATTTGCGTACAAAGAGTGGCCATTTTGTTGGGCAGTTTCATTTCAATTTTCCTGAAATTTGAATTCAACCTTCATTATGGTTGAATGGTGAAATATTTAAACAGTTTTTAAAATCGGAAAAAAAATTGTGACTTCTAGAGAATCTGCAAGCTAAAAATGCCATTTTTCGAACAATCAGGGGCCATAATCCAGGAAGTTAAGTTCGAGTATCCGTGATTATCAAAAGGATCCACGATCTTATAGTGTGTAATGGTGATATATTCACACATTTTTTTTAAATCAGATAAAAATTGTGACCTCTACAAGAACCACAACCTAAAAACACAATTTTTCGTACAATCAAGGGCCATAATTCAGTAAGTTACTATCTGATATGCTGAATATCGAAAGGAACCAAGATCTTTGGGTTATTAACTTACATTTCAAGTTTCATCAAAATCAAAAGAAAATTGTGACCTCTAGAGGGTCCCCAACATTGATTTACCATATTTTTTACACTATTTGCGTACGAGGGGCAGGAATTTTGTCTGTCGGTTTTAATCCGATATATTTAAGAAATTCGAATGGTGATATATTCAAACTTTTTTTTAAATCGGATAAAAATTATGATCTCTACAGGGTCGACAAGCTAAAAACGTGATTTTTCATACAATCAGGGGCCATAATTCAGGAAGTTATGGTCAGATATGCGCAAATATCAAAAGGAAACAAGATCTTTGGGTTATAAACTTACATTTCAAGTTTCAACAAAATCAGATAAAAATTGTGACCTCTATAGGATCCACAACAGGATTTTTTGTACAATCAAGGACCATAATCCAGAAAGTTATGGTCTGAAATGCGCCATAATTCAGGAAGTTACTATCCGATATGCATGAATATCGAAAGGAACCAAGATCTTTGGCTTATAAAATTTTATTTCAAGTTTCATCAAAATCAAAAGAAAATTGTGACCTCTAGAGGGTCCACAACATTGATATACCATATTTTTACCCTATTTGAGTACGAGGTGCGGCCATTTTGTCTGTCAGTTTTGGGTCGATTTTTACGAAATACAAACTCAACCATCCTTAGGGTGTAATGGTGATATATTCAAACATTTTTTTTAAATCGGATTAAAATTATGACTGCTATAGGGTCCACAAGTTAAAAACGCGATTTTTCATACAATCAGGGGCCATAATTCAGGAAGTTACGATCCGATATGCGTGAATATCAAAAGGAACCGAGAACTTTGGGTTATAAACTTACATTTCAAGTTTTATCAAAATCAGAAGACAATTGTGACCTCTAGAGAGTCCACAACCTTGATTTATCATATTTTTACGCTATTTGAGTACAAGGGGCGACCATTTTGTCTGTCAGTTTTGGGTCGATTTTTATGAAATTCGAACTCATCCATCCTTAGGATGTAACGGAGATATATTAAAACGTTTTTTTAAATCGGATAAAAATTATGACCTCTATAGGGTCCACAAGCTAAAAACATGATTTTTCCTACAATCAGGGGCCATAATTCAGGAAGTTACGGTCCGATATATGTGAATATCGAAAGGAACCGAGAACTTTGGGTTATAAACTTAGATTTCAAGTTTCATCAAAATCAGAAGAAAATTGTAACCTCTAGAGGGTCCACAACCTTGATATACCATATTTTTACGCTATTTGAGAACGAACGGTGTCCATTTAGTCTGACAATTTTGGGTCGATTTTCACGAAATTTGAACTCAACCTTTTTTACGGTGCAACAGTGATATATTTGAAAGTTTTTTTAAATCGGATAATAATTGTGACAACTAGAGGGACATCAAGCTAAAAACGCGATTTTTCGTACAATCAGGGGCCATAATTCAGGAAGTTACGATCCGTTATGCGCGAATATCGAAAGGAACCAAGATCGAATTCAGCCGTCCTTAGGGTGTAACGATGATATACTAAAACGATTTTTTAAATTGTATAAAAATTATTACGGTGATATAATAATACGTTTTTTTAAATCGGATAAAAATTATGACCTCTATAGGGTCAACAAGCTGAAAACACGATTTTTCGCACAATCAGGGGCCATAATTCAGGAAGTTACCGTCCGATATGCGTGAATATCAAAAGGAACCAAGATCTTTGGGTTATAAACTTACATTTCAAGTTTCAACAAAATCAGTCTAAAATTGTGACCTCTATAGGGTTACAAACCTTGATATACCATATTTTTAAGCTATACTATTCAAAAAAAGTAGGGGATATTTGATTTTGGGGGCATAATAATAAAATATGCAAATGACTACGAAAAAAGTCACTATAGAACCTAACAGAAGAAACATTTCCAGTTACATGTGACGCCCAAACGCACCAATAGCTACCGCATGGAATGCAGGTGATGCTTGGGATCATCATGGGGGTCCAACCCAAGATTTGCACGACTCTGACTTTGAATGTTACAGTCATTGTGGCATTGAATTCCAGGGTGGAAACATCAGTTTAATTGTTTTAGTGACCAGAAAACAAATTTTGATATGTGTCGGCTTACCCAAAATGAAAGGTTACGTGCCCTTGGCATGCTACAGATCGGCACAACACAGGCGGTTGTGGCGCGGACGATGAATGTTTCTCAGTCTGTCATAAGCAGGCTATGGTCCAGATACCGTGATACACAATCTGTACAGGACAGACCACGCTCAGGTCGACCAAGGGCGGCAACTCAAGCCCAGGATCGATTTATCCGTACCTTGGCCTTGAGAAATCGTGTCATCACAGCAAATCAGATCAGCGCTCGTCTTCAAACAGACACTGGTGTGAGAGTGAGTGGCCAGACGATTCGAAATCGACTGCATAGGGGTCACCTTCGCGCCCGACGTCCTCGCGTGATCCCTTGTTTGAGAGATCATCACATTCAGGCAAGACGTCGTTGGTGTAGGGATCGTCAACACTGGGATAATCGACGCTGGAGCAATGTGATGTTTTCAGATGAGTCAAGGTTCACTGTTGATTTTTTGGACAGACGTAGGAGGGTGTGGCGTCGTCGAAACGAGCGCTTCCAAGACGTTAACGTCATCAGACATGATCGATTTGGGAGTGGTTCTGTTATGGTGTGGGGAGGCATCACTGTTGCTGGAAGAACGGCTTTACATGTTGTTGCAGGGCGTGTCGTTCGCACGACGTCATGGCCGCCGTTTCATCTTCCAGGATGACAACGCAAGATGTCACAGGGCCAGGATCGTTACAGGTTACCTCCAACAACAGAACATCACCACATTACCTTGGCCAGCACTGAGTCCCGACCTCTCCCCCATCGAGCATGTCTGGGACATGCTTGGACAGAGGTTACGTCAACGTCAACAACGTCCTGCCAATGTCCAAGAACTTGCTGCTGCGTTGCAACAGGAATGGGACAATCTGGACCAAAATGACCATAGACGTCTCATTAGGAGTATGCCACGTCGGATCAATGCTTGTTTGGCAAACAGAGGAGGATTTACCCGTTACTGACTTGGTTGTGATGCTGTGGTAACTTTGCTGTTTGACCCCGGGTATCATTTTACCCTTATAATGGTCAGTCTGTGCCTTACTTAGTCTAACGATCATTTGGAATAA